TGACATTTTATTTTTGAATGTAAAAAAACGACAGAGGTCCGGACCTCGGTCACCTCATAGCTGGCTACGGCCGTGGACTTGTAACATATCGTTAGCATTGTTGTCATTGTCAGCGGGCATCACAAAAAAGTTTGTTACCTTCTGCAATTTTGCTAAAAACGTTTTGCTTTCCTCCCGCTTCCTGCTTTTTCAGCACCGCTTGGGTAGCTTCGCTTCATTTTTACTCTGTCTACTACTCTGTACACTGTCTGTCACTCTGTACACTGTCTGTCAATCACTTCTTTTTCTCCGTCAGTTTTTTTGGCGCATTACAGCCTTGTCACTTTCGCACGCAGAAAGTGAGATAATGGAATAGTCCAATTTAGTGAGGTGGGGGGGCCCTCCTGTCTGCGACTAATGATTTGATGCCTTTTTTCGCAAATGTTTTTTAGAAATATATAATTTGCGAAAAGTAAAAAAAAAAAAAACTTAAGCATAATTTAATGGGGCATTTTGGGGGCCCCTAGGTAGCTCGGGGCCCAAGGCAATTGCCGACCTTTGCCTAATGGTTAAGTCCGCCCCTGATTATATTTGAAGAACCAACAGTGTTAACTTTTGCCTTTTTAACCTTGCCAACATGTTTTTCCAGCACATGTGTCTAGCAAGTAGGCTACACTACAAATACATTACATAAACAGAATGTAGAAACGAAAAATGTCTCAGATGATCCACTGTTTATGACTGCAAGATTCTAAGTTAAGGTAGGCTAATTAACATTCAGTGACTTGCTAACGTCTATCATGATAGTGCGACTTCTATGAGTCTATCCGTGCTGCACACCCCTAATTAATGCTCCTAACCGTGAAAGATTGCAGAAGCTAGGTTTAACTGTAACAATATCCTGGGTAACCAGGATCACCAGTTAATACTATTTTCCACAGTAGAATCTGCATTTGAAAGCCTGGTCAGTCACTACTACTGCTAATTATTTGTGTGGCTAGTTATTTTTGCACTCTGCTTTATGAAAAAGCTTCGTATGTCCCCTTTCTTCTTCTTGGGTGACATAGCTGATCTACAAAGTACAAAAAGGGGCAAAAAAACGGAATATTAAAATGTTTTACTCTGGCCTTTGTATATGGCAGGCAGAGAGACAGCATGGTAACTTACCGTCGGCATCGTCACGCGCGCACACACACACACACACACACGCACACACCACCCGCTCGCTGCCAGTGAATGCAAGCACAAAAAGTAGTCCCGACCCGCGCGTGTAGCCTGCCTGTCAGATACCCCGCCGCCAATCAAATTACAGCGTATCTTGTACTGTAGTCGTCCTGGCCGTTGGAATCGATCCAAATAGCAGCGCAAAGATCCAAATGCAGCGCAAATATCAAAATAGCAGTTCAAAGGAGCTTGCTAAATATTGGTGGGGACAAATTTGTCACCTCAAAATATTGATTGGGACTAGTACCTAGCGTCCCCCCCTAAACCTACGCCCTTGCTTCAAATGCTATTGAAGTTAGAAACGTGTATACCAATGTCGTATGTAACTTTAGAGACGGTCCCTAAATGTTGAATGTCCAATGTCAAGCCAAATTTATGCCGGTATCACTGAGAAACGCTGAGCATGAGTCTTTCTGCTTGCCTGCGAGTTTGGTCTTTTATATCACTGTATTAGTCCATTAAGCTACGTTAAGCGTTTTATACGTCCAGCAGGGGAATCCTGACGTATTGAGGGAAACCCTAGTAATGCATGCAACACATCGCCGCAACTAAACAACCAATAGAAATATAAGTCAAACTTAAATGTAACATTGGACCTGTACATCCGCATCGGGGGAATAACATTGTAATCTCGTTCACGGTAGAGAAAGAAGACACTGTAATCGTGAAGACACTGAATTTCACATAAAACAGACGTCATAATAATCACAGATACACTTACATTGTTGTAAATTAGTTTTTAATGAATGAATGGCTTGCTCTAACTGTTGCTCTGGTCTTCGTCAATGTAATGTATTTGAGTTGTTACAATACCTGAAGGCCACTAGAGGGCACCCCCGTGTTGTTGGTTGTTATTGTTGCTGTATGCCGAATAAACCAGTCTAAAAACAGTGCAGACATGTCTCCGGTTTCCCTCGTGGATATTCTGAAACACAACAGAATAATATATATTATAATAGCATATTGATGCAGACATAATATAAATTGGCGACGAGAATAAAGGACCCAGTGTCAATATCGAGTCATCGGTCGAGTGAAAAGGATGGCTACGATCATCGGACAAATCGAGGCATTCGACGAGGCAAGAGAACAATGGCCTACGTATGTTGAACGTTTTGAACACTTTGTGGAGGCAAATGACATTAGTGAAGAGAAAAGGGTGTCAGTTTTTCTCAGTGTAATGGGGTCATCGACTTATGGACTATTGCGTAGTCTAATTGCACCAGTTAAGCCCGGAACGATGGACTATGAAGAGATTGTGAACACACTTCAAGCACATTTTACCCCCAGGCCCATCGTGATCGCAGAGAGGTTCAAATTTCACAAACGAAATCAAGCAGAAGGGGAAAGTGTCGCACAATATGTGGCAGTGTTAAAGAAACTGGCGGAGCACTGTGAGTTTGGCGACAATTTAAATGATGCACTGCGAGACCGATTCGTGTGTGGACTGAGTAGCGATTCAGTTCAAAGGAAGCTATTAACTGAATCAGAGCTCACGTATAAAAAGGCTGTGGATATAGCGATGTCAATGGAGGCTGTATCTAGAGAATCACAGCACTTGAGCAACTCATTGAAGGTAAATGCCATGTCTCTGTCATCTGATTCGCCCAAGGAGAAATGTTATAGATGTGGACAGTCCAGTCATATCCAAAATGAGTGCTTTTACAAAGATCAAGTGTGTCATAAGTGTGGGAAGAAAGGCCACATTTCATGCATGTGTAAAGGTAATAAGACAGGAGAAAGCATTTAGAACTACAGGAAAAGGAAAAAGTGGAAAATGGAAGGGACAGACTAAGAAAAGACCAATTCACAGAGTGGATGCTAATATGGAAAGAAGTGAGGAAGAGACAAATTCGGACACTGATACCGAACTGACTTTACACAAAGTAACAGCAACATCGCACGATCCGCCACAGGTGAACAAAATGAAAAGTGAAACTGATTTAGTGTCATCTGTAATAAAAGTGCAACCAAAAATTGAAGGAGTGCCAGTCGATATGGAAGTGGATACTGGAGCGGCGTTCTCTATTATCTCAGGTGAACTGTACAGAGATAAACTGAGTCATGTTCGATTACGCCAGACGGACGTTGTCCTCAAGACGTATACAGGCGAGGTCATTTCACCAGAAGGCGTCATCAAAGTGCGTGTCAAGCTAAACAGACAAAACGTACGTTTGCCTTTGTTTGTTGTTGCAGGAAACGCAGCTCCTCTGTTGGGACGAGAATGGCTTCGCAGAATTCGTCTAGATTGGCGTGAGATAAGAACTGTAAGAGCAGTACATCAAGTTAATGAAGGAACATTCGAAGGGCTTCTAAAAAGGTATGCCAAAGTATTCAAAGAAGATTTAGGGACATTCAATGAGTATACAGCGACCTTGAGTCTGAAACCAGGAACCCAGCCAAGATTCTTCCAAGCTCGGGTGGTACCGTACGCCATCAGACCCAAGGTGGAAGAAGAAATTGAGCGCTTATTGAAGGAAGGAATCATCTCACCTGTGCGATTCAGTGAATGGGCAACCCCGATCGTACCTGTAGTAAAAAAGGGTGGAAACGTTAGGATCTGTGGTGATTTCAAGGTAACCGTGAATCCAGCTCTGTGTGCAGAACATTATCCATTACCCCGGATTGAAGATCTGTTCGCTTCACTGGCTGGAGGACAAAGATTTAGCAAACTAGATCTCTCACATGCTTACCTACAGATTCCTGTGCATGAAGATTCACGTAAATATTTAACCATCACGACCCACAAGGGGATGTTCGTGTACAAAAGATTACCCTTCGGTATCACTTCAGCTCCATCGATATTTCAACGAGTCATGGAACAAGTGCTACAAGGGCTACCGGGTGTACATTGTTTTTTGGATGATATCCTGATCACAGGAAAAGATAATGTTCATCACCTAGCTAACTTGGAAGCTGTGTTAAGCCGGCTGGAGAAATGCGGGCTTCGCGTGAAAAGAGAGAAGAGTGAGTTTTTCAAAACTTCAGTGGAATATTTAGGACATGTGATCGATGCATCAGGGCTTCACAAGTCTCCAGACAAACTGCGCGCCATCGCCGAAGCACCAGCTCCTGTTAATGTCAACCAATTACGATCTTTTTTGGGACTGGTTAACTATTATGCAAGGTTTGTGCCAAATATGGCCACAGTTCTTCACCCCCTGAATGCAATGTTACACAAGGAAGTAAAATGGAAGTGGTCGCTAGAGTGTGAGAAAGCGTTCCAAGATGCTAAAAATCAGCTGTTAACACGCAGTGTACTCACACATTATGATCCAAGACTCCCAGTTCGTTTGGCCTGCGATGCTTCACCATATGGGGTAGGAGCCGTACTTTCCCACATGATGCCGGATGGGCGGGAAAGGCCCATAGCCTTCGCGTCACGAACTCTGAGTAAACCTGAACAAAACTATGCGCAACTAGAACGTGAAGCGCTAGGAATCATCTTTGGAGTGCGGAAGTTTCATACTTACCTATATGGACGTCACTTCACATTATTAACAGACCATCGTCCGCTTACTACCATACTTCATCCGAACAAAGCAACCCCATCCATGGCTGCTGCACGACTTCAGAGGTGGGCTCTGCTGCTAGCTGCACACAACTACACCATTCAATATAGAAGTGCTAATGACCATGGGAATGCTGATGGGTTATCGAGATTGCCACTGCCGGTACAGCATAGAGACAAGAAAGATGCAGTGGATACTTACCTCATAAATAAAATGGATGCACTTCCAGTGCGTAACAGTGACATCAGTAAAGGAACCAGAGCAGATCCGATCCTCTGTCGAGTGAAAGAGATGGTATCCACTGGATCATTTCCATCTGCAAAAGATTCAGAAAATGCACTGAGGCCATACCTCACAAGAAAGGAGGAACTCTCACTGATGCAGGACTGTCTGATGTGGGGACAGCGAGTTATCGTTCCATCAAATCTGAGACAACGAGTGTTGGAGGATTTACATACAGGACATCCAGGTATAGTAAAAATGAAGGCTCTAGCACGTAGCTACATCTGGTGGCCAAATATTGACTCACAAATTGAAGAGAAATCAAAGACATGCATGTCTTGTCAACAAAATCAAAAATCTCCGTGTCTCTCACCTCTTCACCCTTGGGCATGGCCGGAAGCTCCTTGGCAACGGATCCACATCGACTTTGCTGGTCCATTCGAAGGACGAATGTTTCTGGTAGTTGTGGACGCACACTCAAAATGGCCAGAGGTCCATGTGATGGATTCGACAACTTCCTCGAAGACAATCCAAGTGCTGCGTGGTCTATTCAGTCGCTACGGTTTACCTGAAACACTAGTTAGTGACAATGGCCCACAATTCACTTCCGATGAGTTTGGATGTTTTCTGAAATCAAACGGAGTTAAACACGTCCGCTCTGCACCATTCCACTCAGCCACCAACGGACTAGCTGAGCGGTTCGTGCAGACTTTTAAACACTCACTTAAAGCATCTAAAGAACCAGTACCATTACAGCAGAGATTAGACTCTTTCTTGTTACAGTACAGGAATACACCACATAGCACAACAAAAGAAGCACCTGCTATGCTATTCTTGCATCGCAGATTGAGGACACGGCTGGATCTACTGAAACCAAGTGTGAAAATGACTGTGGAGCAAGCACAGAAAGTACAATGTTCTCACTGTGCCCTCCATGCCAAACACAGAGATTTCAATGTGGGTGACTCAGTGCTGGTCAGAGATTATCGACGGGGAGAGGAGAAGTGGAAAACCGGTACTGTTTCTTCTCAGTCAGGACCAGTGTCGTACACAGTTCAGGTGGACAGTTCACAAAGCTGGAAAAGACATGCAGATCAAATGTTAGACTGTCTAACCAATGTCATCAGAGAACAGTACAGCACAAACACTGGATATTAAGGGGTAAGAACTGTCTGTAACATCTAATGACACTGAACCAAATGCTTTAGATCAGCAGGTAACCAAGCTTGTGGAACCAGCTACTGCTTCTTCCCCAAATGTGAGAAGATTCCCGGTTAGAACCCGTAAACCACCAAACAGACTTGATCTGTAAAATGTGTAAATGTTCTATACACTGTTGAATGGGTTTAAGGTGTTACTTACTTGTGAGGGAGTAGTTAAGTTAACACATCGAGTACTATCGCTTGAGGGTGAACTACTAATTGTTGGCTCCTAACTGTTTGTTATTTCATATGAATGAGGTTATTATGTTAAAAGAAAAAAATAATAACGGGGTAACTAAAATAAGGAGGGAGAGATGTAATGTATTTGAGTTGTTACAATACCTGAAGGCCACTAGAGGGCACCCCCGTGTTGTTGGTTGTTATTGTTGCTGTATGCCGAATAAACCAGTCTAAAAACAGTGCAGACATGTCTCCGGTTTCCCTCGTGGATATTCTGAAACACAACAGAATAATATATATTATAATAGCATATTGATGCAGACATAATAGTCAACATCACGCGCTTGCACCCCCTGCTGGTGAGGTCGACTAACAGCAGATGGAGATTATGCTCGGTAATCGACTGCTTTTCATGCAGTTCCTGGATGTCAACGTTGAATTTACTGTCGAATTTGAACCACTGAATTTGTGGAAGCGAATTTGAAAGCGAAATAAAATGGACCGAAAACCGCCTGTTGAATATTATAGGTTGTATTTTTAATCAGTTTGAATATTTTGGAAGTGAAATATGAAAGGTGAAAATGGATTATTGAAATTTTACTAATGAAAATGCTTTTGAAATGTTTTGAATTGAAATATTCACAGCCTAAATATGTAACCATGCTAAATTTCAGCCCATAAAAATGCAAGCCCTAAAAATACAATGCATTAAAATGCAAGCAGGGTTAATGCAATGCATATTTTTTTCAAGTAGTACAATTCAACAGGCTTTTTGTTTCAAAAACATTTGGCATTACTTTACTTCCATAGCCGTGGCAGCGTTCGCAGAGTCAACGCGCGGCCGGTCGCTGGGAAAAGATGAGCTGGTCATCCGCTTCCTTAGAGGAGCTAGAAGGATGAATCCGCCGCGCCCCCCGTCGGTTCCTATGTGGGATCTTTCCTTGGTCCTCGAGGCCCTGAAAGTCTTCCCCTTTGAGCAACTGGACTCTGTGGAGTTAAAATATCTATCACTGAAAACCGTTTTTCTGACTGCGCTGTCATCAGTCAAATGTGTGGGGGACCTGCACGCACTGTCTGTCAGCGTGACGTGTCTTGAGTTCGGGCCGAATGACTCTAAAGTCATCCTCAAACCTAGACATGGCTATGTTCCTAAAGCGATGGGCACTCCTTTCAGAGCGCAAGTCATTTCGCTGTCGGCTCTGCCAGCATCCGACAGCGAGAGCGATGTGTCAAAACGAGTATCGTTTTGACACCATGCAAGTACATTTTTTCATCATAGGTTTTTTTCGGTTTCTGATTTGGGTGTGTACGTTTCCAAATCTAACTTTATATTGCCTTAATCACTGTCTTGTTTGCTAAAACATAGCACCATTTTGAAACATGTCAGCAACTCCTAGCAACTGATAGCTTGGCTTAAAATATGTTTTACACAGCGGGGTTAGTTGTAGCACAGTGTTACAACTAAGCCGCCAAGTGTACAATGATAATCAAATGAAGAGCCACACAACTTTTCAGGTTTGAGTATTTATTTAAATATTTAACTTTGTTGGACTTTCACAAACAATGTTGGAATTTAAAATGTTTAACATTTTGTTTACTATGCATTGATCACTTGTTTATTTATTAAAAATATGACCTGTTTTTAATGCAATAAACCCTTTAAATTTTCATTTGTATTATTATTACTGTTATTATTATTAATAATAATAATTTTACATGCAGCTGCCACACACAAATCTAATTCAATTGCAATTACAATATTTGATGATTTTATTTATTTATTTATTTATTTATTGCAAAACTGTGCAGCCCTTTTCTATGTCTCTATCCATGATATTGATGCATAATAGAAGGATGGTTAGATGAGGGATGGATGTATACAGATGCACAAACAATATCAAACTATACAAATAAAATAGTACTGAATTATGTGTGTTACACACAAGTGTTACAACTAACCCCTCTGTTACAATTAACCCCGCATATGGGGTAAGTTGTAACATTTGCACTTCTGTCACTTTCAGTGCAAAAGTACGGAAATGGTAGGTCCTAGAAAAAAAAACTTTAAGTGTTCATTTGTAGCAGAGATGTGTATGTTGCTTGTGTAAAAAAATTGAGCCAAAACCAAAATGTGTTAGGTTGTACCCCGCTCTCCCCTATTTCATTCTCTCCGTTTGTTTCTATGGATACTGATTGAGTTTGTTCTTTTCAGGTGTGTCTCATTAATTAGTCTTATTAGTTCCTGTTTGCTCTTGTTTTTAAACCCTGTGTTTCTTTCAATTCTCGGTCTGTCCCCGTTTTGACTACGTTGGTTGTTATGTCCATATTCCAGAGAATCTCCAGTGTTTTTGTAAAGTTTTGAGTTTGTTGAATAAGGTTATTAAAGAGAAGTTGCTACATCTGCATCCTGACAACTTCCTTTGTAGCCTACTGCAACGAGAGACCGTGACACTGAGAATATTCCTTCAGCATTTTTATGAGGTGCGATAATGATACATACTCGATTAAGAAACTTCTTTTTAACTATTTATTCAGTAGATTTCCTAAATAAAAACAATGTACAAGAAATTATGTTCAGTACAATTTAGGTTATAAACATAGATCCTTTACTGTAATCAATATATTGTAACACCTTGCCATGTGAGGACACTGATTTAAAGTACTAAATACTAAGAAGTAAAGTACTTTGTTATAAAGAAGTTTCTAAAGACCTACTGACACCACTGCTTTGCTCCTAAAGGGAAGTTACTGACTTGACATTAAGTGCTGATACTAATGTATAACCATTTAATCACATAATTAATCAAGACGTTCCTTTTACTCTCCACCAAAATTTTACAAACTTCTGTCTTATTTCTTTGGTTTGTAAACCATATACTAATGGATTTAATCCTGGTGGTACAATGTGAAACATTATACCAGCTAGTTTTCTGCTCTCATCGTAGAGAGGGAAGCGATGAAGAATAATAAAAGCGGAGCCAGAAACAAACATGATTAAATAAACAGCTAAATGTGTGCTGCAGGTTTTTATGGCTTTGCTGTTGAGTGCTTTGTTTTTGCTGGTTATGCATACAGTAGCAATATTACCATATGTTATAAATACAGAACAAATTGAGAAAGATAATAAAATGACAGTAAAAAGGATTCCAGACACATTATTAACAACAACACCATCCTCACAGGACAGTTTAAACAGTGAGGCATTGTCACAGTAAGGGTTTTCAATTTTAGATCTGCAGTGAGACAGACGCACAGTGAGTCCTATCAGAATTGATGCCGAAAGTACTGACAGCCCCCAGGCTGATGCTGATAGTTTAATAACCATTTTATTGGTCATTATAGCTGTGTATCGCAATGGATTACATATAGCCACATATCTGTCAAAGGCCATGATTATTAGAACACAGTGGCATGCTGATACAAACATAAGCACAAAATAGGCTTGAACTACACACTCCACATATGTGATATAGTGCTCTGAACCTTCTTTTAAAATGTCCTGCAATAAGCGTGGCAAAATGACAGTGGTCCCTAATATATCGTTCAGTGGCAAGTTACAGAACATGAAATGCATAGGATGATGAAGATTCTTCTCTGTTGAGATCAGAATTACAAGTGCAATATTGGAAACCATTACAAAGATATAAACCAAAAGAAGCAGGATGAAAACAACATAGGTAGACTGAGGTGTAACTTGAATTCCCTCTACTAGAAGAATGCTGTGTCTGAATGACAGGTTATCCATTGCTTGTTATACACAAAACCTACAAACAGAGTAACAGTCAGACATTTCATAGAAATATTGTTTATGAGCTTTAGACAGCAAAATGCATATTACCCAGACACTTTGCATTCTATGACTTTTTTTGTGCTCATGTAAACTTTTACAGGTATATGACATTTTACATACAGCGCTTGTCTGAACAAGTTTCATAGTGCACACTATTTTACATATAGGCCTACTAATAAGGACAATCAATCAGAATTTTAGCAAAACATGGAAGCATTTTAATGTATTTCATACAAGGAACTTAGAAACATGTTGTAAGGATTTGAAATACTTGGTAGTTAACCAGTATTAGTTGAATATCTAATAAAACGACACAAACTTACTGCAGTTGGATTCTGTTATTATTAAGCTGATTTATTGCTGTAAAGATTTATATGTAGATTTATAAGATTTATATAAATTTATATGTTGCTTGATAAAGTCACAATCAACTCAGTTTTCAGTGTTACCCAAATATAAACTTGCACTTCTCTGAAGAAAGGTTTATCGGCCGTTACCTTTTAATTTGTGGCTCAAAGGTGTTTCCATGATACTATCACCCCAGAGGGGAAAACTTTTTTGTATCACTAGTTGCCATGATCACAGCCACTGATAAAGTTGTATGAATAGATTCCTAACCTTATATATTTTACATTTTTAATTTGTAAGTCCTCAATGGCTCATACTAATCAATATCTTCACAAGAAATATACTGTATAACAAGTATTTGCAATACAAATAAAAAAATTGGGTTTGATTGCAATACCAATCAAAACATGTTTAAATCAAAAAGGAAATAAATTATTTTATATTTTTGTCTTGTTTTATTTATTGTATTAAAAATCTTGCTTAACCAAAATACATTGATTTATTGACACCTTTTACTGAAATGTTTATGCCAATCTGTTAACCTACATTCAGTGTTACACTGTGTAAGACAACTTACGTATAATAATATATAATAATATATATTTAAGGGGCCAGACAGGCCAATTTAGCTCAAAAGGAATTATCTATTAATTTATAGGGAATCTTAACAGAATCACTTATACGGCCGAGCAAATGACTCGTCCAGCGTTCATTCGAACGGGCCGTAACTATAACCTACAGTGGATATAAATATCCAAACTATAGTGAAACACTATTTATTAGCAAGGTAACTTAGATCAGCAGTTTAAGACATTAAATCTGTAATAACACAAGAACAATTCTCTTTAAAATATAAACAAGACTTTATTGATTATTCCAACACATAAAACTATCTAACACAATCACACACACACACACATTCATATGAGTTGCAGAAAGAAAGAGAGTGAGGAAAGAATGAGTTTTAAGGGTGAGATGGTGAAATCCCAAGTTTCTATATGCACTTATAAGACATGACCTGAACGAACCATCAATCATTAATTTAACCCTTCTATCGTTTTTTAGGCGGGTTATTACATTTTATATCAATGCACCAGTTCAGTTAAGAGTCTGGAGTGCTACTTGCTTGTCCTTGCGTTGCTTTGGTGATTCCCTTTTGTCTGGGTAAAAGGGGGTTTCCGGGTCCGTTGCTTGGCTGGCGGTCTTCTCGTGCCTGGATAGATCTTGGGGCGGCCAATCACGTGGTGTGTTGGCGGATAGATGAAAGTCTTTTGAAGTTCGAAGCGCCATTCAGTGACAGTCCAATGAGGGCGCTTCGCACCCATTGCGTCACGCTCCCGCCGAAGCGGGCGTGGCCTAGCCCTATAAATACGGCTCGATGGGCTGATATAATCTGATTTTCATCTCTTCAGCGAAGCGTTCGCACCGCTGGATCCAGAGTGAGAAGCCGCGCCGTCGAAACAGCTTTCTGCGGGACGAGCCCTTGCAACTGAAGTCGCTGGCCTTCACCTCGCCGCCTTCAGCCGCCGTTCCTGCTACGCAATCCGGCGTATCATATCCTTTCACTGCTCTGTGTGTGTGTGTGTGTGTGTGTGTGTTCGCCCCGCGACGCACACTGTACCTAAAAGAGCCGCGTCTTTTTCAAGATGCCTTCCTCATGTGGCTCGTGCCGAGCCCCACTCAGTGATGGGGACCACCATGTAATCTGCGTTTCCTGCCTGAGAGAGGATCATGCAGCTCGCGCGCTCGCCGACGGCAGATGCCCTCACTGCGAGCTGCTGCCAATGGTGACTCTGCGTACTGGCCTGGCATTCTTCACCGAGACTACATTTCCGCCCGCTACAGTGCCGCGCCGTAAAAAGCGCCGTGCTCAACGGGCCGTGCTCAACGCTCTGCTCGCTCACTGATGGACAGCGGCCGTGGTCTGCCGCCACTTCTGTCATCGATGACGACGAGCCAGCGATCTCTGCAGGGGAGGCCAGCTGCTCTCTACTGGCATCGGACAGCGAGGATTGGGCGAGCTCTGTGGACCTCCCCCCCCTCTGCCCGTGCACCGTCAGGAAAGAGAGCCAGCATCGAGTCGGAACTGATGCGTCTTCTCTCGCAGGCCGTGGCCTCGAGTGGGAGGCGCTTGCGCAGCCCGCGCGCAACCGACTAGATGGGTGCTTCCTGCAAGGCGACCGCACCCCAGCGCCATCCAGACCCGCGCCCTTTCTTCCTGAGCTTCACGAAGAAGTCGCGAAGTCTTGGACCGCCCCCTTCTCGGCCCGAGTGCGTCCCTCTGTCTCTACTGTATTCTCCACTGTGGACGGTGCGAAAGACAGAGGCTACCACTCCCTGCCCGCCGTGGAAGAAGCCGTAGCGGCCCATCTTTGCCCGCCCTCTGCTGGACGGCGAGCTAAGACGGCCCTACCATCAAAGGCTTGCTGCACCACGTCAGCCCTGCACTCCCGCGCTTACACCGCTGCTGTGCAGGCTGCGTCGGCTCTCCACTCTATGGCCGTGCTGCAGATACTCCAGGCCGACCTTCTCCGGAAAATGGACGAGGAAGGCCAGGAAGCTATCAGCGTGGCGGATCTACGCAGCGCTACAGACCTGGCTCTTCGCGCTGCGAAATCCGCCGCACAGGCCGTTGGGCGGATTATGGTGTCTCTCACCGTCGCTGAGAGGAATCCCTTTACTCTCCAGCTTTAGCAGAGTACAGAGGATGCAGTTTAGACATGATTCCTATTATAAGAACATTAAATACATTTTACACAGATTTCAATCAAGCCACCTTCTTAATTAAGAACATATGATCTTACTGATAGGAAACACGATACACTTTCATTCACACATCTAATAGTTATAACAATTACATGACTTTTATGTGATCTAAGCCTAATAGACACATACAGGGGTTGTAGACACAATATAGAAATATGTAGTTGAACGATGTTTGATTATAAGTCCGTCAAGAATTGTTTTGGGATGAT